TGCCACCACGCCTGGCTAATTTTTTGTATTTTTAGTAGAGATGGGGTTTCACTGTGTTAGCCAGGATGGCCTCGATCTCCTGACCTCATGATCCGCCTACCCTGGCCTCCCAAAGAGCTGGGATTATAGGCGTGAGCTACCGTGCCTGGCTTTTTTTTTTTTTTTTAGAAGAGTCTCGCTCTGTTTCCCAGGCTGGAATGCAATGGCATGATCTTGGCTCACTGAAACCTCTGCCTCTAGCAAGTCTTTCTCCTGCCTCCCGGTTTCAAGCCATTCTCCTGCCTCAGCCTCCCGAGTAGCTGGGATTATAGGCGTGCACCACCATGCCTGGCTAATTTTGTGTATTTTTAGTAGAGACGGGGTTTTGCCACGTTGGCCAGGCTGCTCTTGGACTCCTGACCTCAGGTGATCTGCCCGCCTCGGCCTCCCAAAGTGTTGGGATTACAGGCGTGAGCCACCGTGGCCTGCTTTATATTACTTTTATAATTAGTAAAAACAAATGTTATTCAAAAAGAAATACAGCTTACACATAAAACACTCTTTTCAACTGTAAGTAGCCGGCACTCAGAGTTAGTAACATTCTCATTCATTCATTCATTCATTCAGTGTTTCAGAGCTCCACCTGTGTTCTAGGCACTGGGCTAGGTCTTAGGAATACAAACTTGAATACAATATAGCTCCTCCCTTCAGCAAGCCCGTCGGCTAAAGGGAAAAGTGTAGGTGTGCGTATTTATACCTGCACCTGGGTCTGTCTCACACCATCTTCCACTAAGGATAGAGGGAGACCAAGGCATCAGAGGCCCCGCGGTCAGGGAGAGGGCAGGAAGGGTCTCCCACCACTGGCGACAACTCCTCCTATTTCTCCTTCGAGAGGCCATGGAAACTCGCCCACCGCTGCCCCGATCAGGTGGGCTCCTGGTTCCCCGTGGGGCGCACTCACCTCGGTTTTCCTTGGCCAGGTTGTCGGCCATCTCCCAGTAGTCGTAGCTGTGCAGGATGCTGTTGGTGATGCTGACGTGGTTGGCCGCCATCTGGTGGATGCGCTGTGGGATGCTGACGATGGTCGACGGGGACAGGGCGCTGGCGTTGGAGAGGCTGCCCTGAGACCCCACTGAGCTGGCGGGAGAGGGGTTGGGAGACATGGGGGATGGGGTTCCAGTGCTCCTGGAAGGGGAGAGGTAGAAAAACCAGAGTGGCGAGGTCGGGAGCAAGCGAGGCAGGGCAGCCCCTTGGGGAATGGAAAGCAAAGCGCAGTGGCCCAGCACCATGCATTGTCTGGCTTACGGCATTGACTTTGGAAAAGTGAACTTACTTTCCACTGGCCCCCCATGGGGATGGGGCTTGGGCGGCTTTAGATGAGTTCTGCAAGAAAATAACAGTGACAGTGAGTGCCATCTGAGTGAGGTGAAACAGGTGACATGAACGTGTCTTCAGGTGACTGCAGAGAGAAGCAAAGGCAGACACCGCAGGAGAAAGGCCCCTTCAGAGAAACTGGACCTGGGAAGTCTCCATCACAGTTCTCTGTTCCCTTTCTGGAAGAGAGTCAGGGAAGCTGCTGGACTTCCGAAGCTTAACAGTATTTCCCTTAAAGGAACTTGCTCTGGAATACTCCTAAGAGAATATACTTAAATGTATTTCCCTAGCAGACAGGATACTCCAAAGTTCTAGTTCATCTGAATATTCCGATTTAGAAGTTATTTTGCACGAACAAGGTGCCTGCATCAGCCCTCAGTGAGGTAAGTGAAGGGCTTCACCCACAGCCTGGGTTTTTATGCACAAATTTTAGGTACCACATTAAGCCATAATCCCAAGGGTCTGTTAAATCTTGAAGCAGACTTATTTTTTCATTGTAAATTAATTTTTCTTAAAAGGAAAAAAGAGCAGGAACTCCCTCATATCCCCCCTCATACACTTTATATTTAAAAGTAGGACATATTTGCAGAAACAGTCGACATACATTTACCTAGTGCCTGAAAATATATGACATCAGATTACATTGTTTTAACTTAGAAAGTTTAAAAGTATTTCTTCTTAAAGGAAGTTGCTATTGCATATTCCTAAGAGAATTGATTAAAATATATTTCCATAACTGACAGGATGTTCAGACATTCTGGTTTATCTGAATATTCTGGTTTAGGAAGTTCTGTTGCACAAGCCAGGGGCTTGCATCGATATTTAAAAGTTTGGCCTCTAGTTAGGGAAGCTGCTCAATGCACAGTTAGATTTCCTGTCAGAACCCAATCATGCCTTCGTAGGACTGTTCTTTGTGATGCTGATGGGAGTTTTTCCTTTCCAGAGACAAGAAAACAGCCTCAGCCTGGTTCTCCAGAGACAACACATTTCTTTTGCTTAGAAACGACTTTATGGAGTGGCGACTGATTTTTCTGGTTTTAGCGCGGGTGTTATTAAAATGGCAAGAAATGGCCTGTCAGAACTCTGAGGTGCTACGATGGCAAGATGTACGTGTAAGGACAGCATTGCAAACCATGCCACTTCTGCCTGTCTCAGGAAATACAATTATTTTCATGAGGAGAATCAGGAAACCTTCCGGAACAGGGGAGCTTATCCTCCCTTTCCTGACGGAATGTTACTGACCCCTTTCTCAAGCTGGTGCTACTGGACTGATCGCTTTGTTTCCATTTCATCCTGTGGTTCTGAGAACGTGATCTATAGAATGGGTGTTCTGGATATAAGAACACTAAGGGCAGAAGGGGAGAAAGGCTTGGGGGTTGCAGAAACAGTCCAATAAAGGCTACTGAATGAAGGAAGAAGGTGGTGGCTCACGCTTGTAAACTCAGCACTTTGGGAGGCTGAGTTGGGTGGATCACCTGAGGTCAGGAGTTTGAGACCAGCCTGGACGACATGGTGAAACCCTGTCTCTACAAAAAAAATACAAAAATTAGCCAGGTGTGGTGGCACACGCCTGTAATCCCAACTACTTGGGGGGCTGAGACAGAATCGCTTGAACCTGGGAGGTGGAGGTTAGGGTGAGCCAAGATTGTGCCACTGCACTCCAGCCTGGGTGACAGAGTGAGACTCCGTGTAAAAAAAAAAAAAAAAAAAAAAAAGAGGTCTTGAGTTCCCTTCCTCCACCCCTAAGTCCCATGCCCAAGAAATACCAGCAGGAACAAAGTTCTTTTTTTTAGAGCTAGCTCTGTACTGATAAAACACATATAGCCACATTGTCTTGGGTACCTAAAGATTTCATGGTCTCTGTACTCAAAGCAGCATTTAAATAGCCCTTGAGGCTGCGTGTGTGGCTCACACTGGTAATCCTAGCACTGTGGGAGGCTGAGGCAGTAGGCTGGCTGGAGGACAGGAGTTCGAGAAGAGCCTGGACAACACGAGGAGATTCTATGTCTATAGAAAATGAAAAAATGAGCTGGGTGTGGAGGCGTGTGTCTGTGGTCTCAGTGACTTGGGAGGCTGCAGTGGGAGGACGGCTTGAGCTCAGGAATTCACAGCTGCAGTGAGCTCCGACTGTACGACCGTGCGACCGTACGACCGTGCGACCGTACGACCGTACGACCGTGCGACCGTGCGACCGTGCGACTGTACGACCGTGCGACCATGCGACTGTACGACCATGCGACTGTACGACTGTGCGACTGTACGACCGTGTGACTGTACTCCAGCCTGGGCAACAGAACAGGACTCAAAAAAACACAAAAACCAAACCAAAACAAAGCCCTTGAAACTTTGTATCCAAGTTTCAGTTATCAGGAATAAGTTCTGGAAATCTACTGTAAGGCATGGTGACTACAATTAATAACAATGTATAGTATACTTGAAAATCTCTAAAAGAATCGATTTTAAACGTTCCCATCACAAAAACAGTATGTGAGGTGACGGATATGTTAATTAGCTCGGTTTAATCATTCCACGATGTATAAATATATCAAAACATCACATTATACATCATAAGCACATGCAATTTGTTGTTGGTTAATTAAAAAAATTTTAAAAATAGCTTTTGATGAAGCGTAAATGACATTAACTCCCAGAGGAGAAACTCTGATTTTCTTTTCTTTTTTTTTTTTTTGAGACAAAGTCTTACTCTGTCGCCCAGGCTGGAGTGCAGCGGTGCAATCCTGGCTCACTACGACCTCCGCCTCCCGGGTTCAAGTAATTCTCGTGCCTCAGCCTCCCGAGTAGCTGGGATTACAGGCGCCTGCCACCAGGCCCGGTGTGTTTTCTACCCATTCTGTATGTATTCGTGGACTGCAGAGAATATTAAGAACTTGTATTCCTTAAAAGCTTGTTGTAGCTCCTGGCTGCTCACGGAATTCAGCTTCCTTCTTTATTCAAGCATTTTCCCTGACTGTAATAATTTTCTTTAGTATTAGCTCTTATGGTCTGGATTTCTGAGCACTATTGATGTTGACGTTAGGTACCTGAAGGAAAGGGAAGACTCAGTGCTGGTGCTTGTCCTGACGACACCAGAGGGTCAGCGGGCCGAGGAAGTGATGTCCACGGCCTAGCACCTGGTTACTCATGTGGACAATTAGAAGGCAGTGTGCTGAACATGCCCCAGGAACCCCCAGCACAGCCTGGCCATTAGAGATCACCTCTAGAGGAGGCTGGGCATGAACAGATCTCAAATGATGGTTGTGTATCTGACAAAGGGCTGTTGGAGATAGAGATGGCATAATTGCTAGTTTCTATAGACAAACAGAGAAGAGGCCCAGAAATCTCAAATGAATTATTAATGTAAGGTCAATCTCACAACAGTACATCAGAGAAGGCTTTAAAAAATTTATTCTCCCAGTGAAAATAATTTCATTCCCTGAGAAAAATAAAAGGTGGCATGGTTTGCGATTTTATCCCTATAGCTACACACTGCTATCTACTGCTTTCAACAAGCCATCTCTTACCATTTTAAATAACGCCTCTATTAAAAATTAAATTAGCTACCAGAGACTAGCTAAGAGGGAATGGCTCTAAGGGGTTACTTACAATGAAAAGAAACTCTAAGTGAGCACAAGGAATTTATGTTAGCTATAAAGATGAATTTCCTAGGACATTGGAAAGAGTAACTGGATCTTCTTTCTCTTGAAGTCATAAAAATACTTGGACAAGGCTGGGCGTGGTGGCTCACACCTGCATTCCCAGCACTTTGGGAGGCCGAGGTGGGCACATCACCTAAGGTCAGGAGTT